CAGCGTGTTCACAGAAGCTCATGAGCATGGCTGCCTTCCAGCAGACAACGTCCTTCTGATGTTCCCTAATGCACTTTTGTTCGGAATAAATAGATCCTTTTGGAGTTAAATTACTAGACACAAATTTTCCCAAAATGAGAGTAAACCTGAAACAAAACACTAACAGCTAGCAGACCCAAAGCAACACACACGCGAATGTGCAGACAGATGCCCATCCTACAGTACTGAACACCATCCACAGCTAGAAAATTAAATAGATCTTCAACTCAGCCACATTTACACGTTAAATACATATAATCCACTCAAACCTTGCATGTAAACTTTGTTGGATACCTTTCAAGAAAAAAAAAAGTACAATGTAATGTGTAGATATTCAAGTACCAAGAGCTCCTGGATTGTTTTGTTTGCACCAGTGAAAGAACAAAAATAGAGATTTTGTTAAGATGTTTGGTTTGCAGCCTCTTTAGGGAACAAAGGTTAAGAATTTAGAGCCTCAGGTAAAAATATTTGTATTTGCTGGTGACCTTCTATGTGCTAAAGGATCTGGCCTAAGAGGCTGGAAAATGATAGCATTGAGACTCCGTCCCCTGTTGTTTGCGTCCTGGTCTTGCTGCTGCTCTGGAGGGGGGAAGAGAGGTTGCAGCCCACACTGACGTTGTTCTGATCCCCGGAGTGTTATGGCTGTACTGGAGTTTGGCTTGTGAATTCTCTTCCTTCCCTCCCTACCTAGATATTCACAGACAGCATTTAGTGTGGGTCCAGTAACGTGCGGAGGGATGGGAGGAAAGGATGCAGCCCCGTACGAGGAATCTGGAGCGTCCCTTCCCAGGAAGACCTCGGTGAACACGATGGCACATCTGCTGGAAGCACATTTCTTGATTCCACCTGCCAAGCTGTCAGGCTCACAATATTGCAGGTCTCCACCATGGTTTGGAGCCAGCACTGGCAGGGAAGAATTATTTGCATAAAGTGGAAAGAACATCCCATTCTGCCCAGATCTGGATTTTTTTTCTCCTTCTCTGTCAGATACCTCTGATTTCGCAGGAGGACAATCCTACGAGCACAGCTATCGCTACCAACCTTATACACCACGATGGGGCACATCTCCTACATCTTTGCAGACTTCAGAGCTCCATGGGAAAAGGTTTAGCTTAACAGCTATTCTCAGGGATCAGCAGATCCTCAGAGTGACCAGCCTGAGGACCCTGGCAAAAAGGAAAATGGTCAAACTAACCCAGCCAGCAAAGAGCCCTTTTCTTTGGCTTTGAGGGACTGCTCCATCGGAACACCCAGTCCCTCTTCTCTGAGGGAGCCTGACCAGCGTTTTGTTCTTCCTTTTATTTCCAGGGGGGCAATGCTGTTCCTTCGCCAGGGCTCCCCGAGCCGGCGCAGCCGCGCTCCTTGTCACGGTCACACGCTGCTCCTCTGGGTCCACAAAGGCGGTCGCTTTTGTGCTTTGCCCCCATCCTCAGATTTCGTGGAGAATTTTGTACTCTGGACCTGCCAGGACTTGGGAACCAGCCTGTCACAGAGCGGGGCCCTTCCCTTTGCTTTGTACGCCCCAGGCTCCTCATCCAGGAGGGAAGCCTGGTGAGAAAGGAGCCCAGGGGCTTCTCTGTGCCTGGCTGTGGAGGCTTTCCCTCAGGCCTGGTAAAACTGCTGGTTGGGTGCTGAGGAGGTGTGCGGGGTGCCTGGCTCCTTTGCCTCTGCTTCCCACAGGTTGTCATAGCTCTGGAAGCTCTGGAGCTCGGCGTAGTCATGGTAGGCTGCGGAGCTGCGGTGAGTGCAGCCGGCTTCTGGAAGGTCATAAATGTTGACATTCTCATCTGCAGAAAAACAGACCAAAGCGCTCAGAGAGCTCATGGGCAACCCAGGGGCTGCCTTTTCCTTTGCCAGCAGAGAGCACACATGAGGATCAGCAAAACCGCAGCCCAGATGCAACCAGGTCCGGGCAAAGCGGTGGAAGTATGCCACAGAAGAAACCACAAGCCCCCATGCGTGACGGGTGGCCAGAGCCCGTGGGCAGCGAGCAGAAGCCAAGACGAAGGAAGGGCACGCATGAGTCCCCGCGCTCCCTGCTTCGAACGATGCTTACGGAGACAGCCACCGGCGAGGCGGGGGGGGCTGCAGCACCCAAGCAGCCTCCCAAGAGTCTCACCTGGTGGCTGCAGTGATGGGCCCAGACGTTCCTCTCGCAGAGAAGGAATCTGACAAGAAAGAGATGCACCGATGAGGATGAGTACTGTAGTCCTGGGGTACTGCACACCAGGAATCAGCCCGCTGCTGGTTCCCCCATCCCCCCTCCCCAAGACGCATCCCGTCACAGAGCAAAGGGCTCGGAGCCCTGCAGTGACCGACCACTCTTCCAGCCTGGAGAAACCAAGCTGGGACCCCCGTATTCCCCTGCAGCCTGTGCTTTGCAGGGCATTAGGACTGCATTTACAAACTCACCTCTTCAAGACAAGAGGCGTTAGCTGGAGGCCGCAGCTGGAGATGGCATGAGGTGCTGGCGGTGCTGTAGCTCGGCACTGCAGACACCTCTCTGCAGTGACCGCTGGGCAGGGGCTGGCAGCTCCTCGTCTGCAGAGAGAGATGCTGGGGGACCGGGACGGCTGGGCACCCGCTCGCCTGCGCTGAACCCGTCTGCCCGTGACACTGCAGGAACTTAACGGAAACAAACTCCAGATTTGGTACCTGCTACGGAGAGTTGGGGAACACCCACCGGCTGCTCCCCACCTGTCAGCCAGCCCTGCTAGGAACAGACTTCGGCAAAACAAGGTTTTCTGCCTGCCTTGCAAATTCTACTACATTCCAACCCTGAAGGCCTTAGCTGGGAAAGGAAGAATGGCTGCGGGATCCTCGCAATGACCCACAGGTAGCGGAAGTTGGCCAGATGGGAAAGCGGTAGGATGAAACCTGCTGGCAGCTCCCGGGACAAGGAAGGACAGAGAGCAGTCAGGAAGAACCCTCGAGGGAAGGGAGGACTTCAGCAGTACAGGGGATGCCAGCCACAGACTCAGAAATCGTTTTTTCCCCAAGAGATGCACACAGCTAGAAATGTGGCCTTTAATAGGCACTCAGTTATCACAGCTGGATTTTCTGGGGGTGGATGAAGAGGTCTCTGTGTCTGACTCATCTCTAGTTTCTGTAGACTGGATCACATCTCAGTCTCTGCCTTTGTCTTGCGGTTTCTGGCTCTTCCTTGGATTGTTGTGATGCTGGCATCCAGTGATAAGACAGGGGAAACCTGTTCCCCTCCGACTCTGTCCTGGCTTGAAAAAACAGAGAACTACGCTGTGTGCCCTGCCCTACCCCGAAACGCAGCCTTCGCGTTTCCACATCCCGCTCGCTTGGGCAGACAGCAGGAAAAGAAATGGCCCCAGGCACGATTTCTGGAGCCAAACGCCTGTGTGCTGAGTCAGAGCCGCAAGCAGCAGCAAACGCGCAGGGTACCTCGTCCCTGAAGCTGGAGCCTGCCGCGCTGCGAGCGCTGGGCGAGCCGGGCTTGCAGGGATCGGCGGACACGGGCGAGCGGGGCATGGCCGGCTTCTCCAGGGAGCTGGAAGCTGTCGAGGGCTGACTTCCCACCAAGGTCCATCTGTTCAGCTAAAAGGCAGAATTGAAACAGGAACGTGACATGCTGTTCCCAACTGGGAATTCATCCCCGGGAGGGATCGGAGTGGGGAATCTCCCCGCGATTCGAGTCCCAAACGCTGCTCAGCCCCGAGGGATGGCGGGGCTGGCTCCTGCCCGCGGCCGTCTGTGCTAACAGGGGGACTTCCCTGGGCGTAAGGCAGATGCACACTCATCGTGGGGAGGGAAACATGGCGTCACACACTACACTGGTGATGGGCACATGCTGGAAAACCCTCGGAAGATGAGGCTGTGTCCTGTGAAGCAGTAACACTCCCACTCGCAGAGCACTGGTGCTCGTGCTGCCTCAGGAATTAGCGCCCAGCATCTCCGGGCTCCAAGAGACGTCGTTCCGTTTGCTGTGTTTAAACTCACCTCCCATGGGCCGTTTTCAAACAGAAATGGATTTCACGCCGGCTCTAGAGC